GTTCTGTTCTGTTCTGTTCTGTTCTGTTCTGTTCTGTTCTATTCTATTCTATTCTATTCTATTCTATTCTATTCAGTGTGTCTTGTGTCCAGAGAAATCATCTGCAGAACATAATTAAATGCCTTATGAATGACAGCCTTCTGGCAAGCTTTCATTAAATTCTTCAGGAATTGCACATGCTCAGGCAAGAGCATAGCAAAATAGTAACAGTGAGGAGTCCTTAATCCTCTCTGAGCTTGGTTGTTTTCTTTCAGACTAACCAAGGAGAGAAGCAACCTGATACTAAGCAGAAATTCCCTGACAGAGCGAACAATTAACCAGTGAAACGACTTACCTCCAGAGGTTGTGAGTGCTCCAACACTGGAGGTTTTAAAGAAGAGATTGGACAACCATTTGTCTGAAATGGTAGAAGGTTTCCTGCTTGAGCAGAGGGTTGCACTAGAAGACCTCCAAGGTCCCTTCCAACTCTGTTATTCAGACATTTCATTGCCCAAACTAGGTAACATCATCAGTATTTGGTTAATGAAAGGTCATCAAGAAAGCAACCAAGATCAGAGAGTATCAAGGACCCCTCATTTCAATTCCCGAACTGCAAATATTCTCCTTGAAAGATGGACAGTGGTACAAATATGGGTGGGTTTTGGAGTCAACTCCAGAGATATCAGAATGAAGACCCAGCCAGGAGGTGAATCAGGAAAATTAACTCCCAGAGGAGTTGAAAAACCTTTTAGGAAGCTCAGAATGGTGGTGGAACAGATGATTAAATCTCACAACGGAGTTGTATATTAAAAGTGAAGGGGCCCCAACCCAGTAAACCCTGAGCGTCCCAAATGCTTTAACCCTGACCCGTGATCTCTGGATGAAGAGAAGTGGAAACCGGGTGAGGTACTTTACCTACTAGGAAATCGGAGATGGCCAAGTTCAGGAGGAAATAATTGTTCTGCGTCCTCAAGCTGGAGTCCACCACGAAGGCCAGCATCACTAGCGCGTTGCCCACCACGGTGGCCACGATCAGCAAAGCCATCAACACCGCCAAGGCGATGGTCCAGGTCGTGGAGAAGTGGCCGGAGAGATCTTCTCCCTGCGCTTTCTCCGAACCGTTCACAGCCCGGGCGCTCGAGGGGGAGCTGTCCATTTCAGCACCATGCGCTCTCCGCAGGCTCAAACGCCCGGGCGAAGTCGCGGCGCCATCGTCAGGGACTTGGGTTATAGGATCTCTTATTGGCATGGATTATTAGCCGGCCAACTCCAAGGGACTCTGAGCGGCTCTACCTGGCGGGACTCGCCTCTCACGGACGGAGGGAGTCGGAGAAAGCCGCTTCAGCATTGCGCCCTTAGCCGGTTCGTCCCTTTCCGAGGCTCAGCAGATCGGCTAAGGCAGCGTTCGATCCTAAGCGGTTAGTTTTCTTTCTCGAGTTCTCAGGGAAATAATAATAGCAACATTTTTTTAAAAAAAAATCTAGTGCTTTTTCTTTTTCTTTCCGTTGCTTTCCGATTTTTTTCTCCCCGTGAGACTGTGGGGTTTTTGTTTTTCTCCTCCTATTGAAACTCAGCCTTTCCTTTCTCCTTCCTCCCACTTCTTCTCCTGACTGGGAAAAAAAGAGGGGACGGCAGGAGTGGAGGAAAGGATGCGGAGGGGTGTGAGTGGGGGCTGGCTCTACTATTTGCAGCAGCTGCTTTGCTCAGCGTCGGAAGTGACTGACTCCGGGCCAAAACGAAGAGTTTTCTCCCAAGGGTGGAGCCAAGTTGCTTCTCCACCCAGGGGGGGAAATAATTGCTGAGAAAATATAGATACAATAGATACAAAACTTATGGTAAATCGCTCCAAACGTCATTGCAGAAAATACGTCTTCAGCAACAGAGTGGTCAGTGCACTACCTGACTCTGTGGTCTCTTCCCCAAACCCCCATAACTTTAACCTTAGACTGTCTACTGTTGACCTCACCCCATTCCTAAGAGGTCTGTAAGGGCACACCAGCGTCCCTGTCCTAATGTTCCCTTGTATTTGTATCCACGTCATGTATTCATAATCATGTTTATACATATATCTGTTATCTAATGCATGCTTGATGAAATATATAAAATGAATGAATGAACGAATGGATAAATAAATAATCCGAGAGTCTACGGCTAGGCTGTGATTTCAGACAGTGTCAGGTTGAGCAGCCAGGTTCAAAGCCCAGCCTCTGCTCCTATCTCTTCCCATCTGCTCCTTTATTTCGGCCTTTCAAGCATCTCCCAGTGAGCTTCAAGCAGGCAATAGGAGCAGTGGAACCGGCCTGTTTGCTTTTGGGATAAGGTTGATGAATTGTCAATAGGACCAGGCAGAGGGTGGTGGGGACATTCTGATTAGAGGAAA